ATCTACTGATATTTATATGTTTTATAATTGGGGTATTCAGCCTGATAGATAGATCGCATTTTAAACATAGAAAGCAATATTATTGGGTTAAAATTGTAATAGTGATGATAAAAGTTTGAACGTCTTTTTGAAAGATCAAATTTCGATCAAAATTTGATGGAAATATGTACGGCTCTCTGACCGGCTGAATTGTTACTTTTTTATATGTAATATGATAATGTTTTTATCTTTCCACTTAATGAATCATAGGGTATATTATCAATAAATTAATATAACACTTCTTTCTCTCTATTTCACATACTAAAATACAGTATAAAACAACAAATAATCGATGTCTTAAATAAATTGCATAAAGTCAGTGAATTTATCATTAAGAAAAAAAACGACTGGTAAAGCCTTTATCAGCAAGTACAGATGAGCTTATTAAAGATAATCTAGAAGTAATCGAAAAGGAAGTTAATGTAAAGTTGGAGCAGATAGCTGCCATGAAGGAGCTTGAACAAAACCTTAAGTCCTATAAATACATACACAAGGTTGACAATATATTGCCAGATTTTGAGTCAAAGGAAAGAACACTTGACTTCTTCGAGAGTCTAAGTGCGTATAGGCTCAAAGACGAAATCAGAATGTGCAAAAGCTTATTCTATAAATGCTATAAAAATCTACGAATTTTGTAGGAACTTTGTACTTTGTCTTTTGGTGTCCTTAACTACAAAATAATATCATTGGCTAAGACTCGCATAAGATTTTGTTCGAAAAACATGGCTGAGTATCCCCTATGACCTAAAATTCTGCTTTTTTTTTTGCCTTTTTTTTCATCTTTTCGTCTGTCCATATCAAATATTTTCAACTGTCTACCATTATATGATTAGACAATTGTGAATCTTAACTATATACACTTTATATATCAAAATTTAAAATCCTTCATTAATTTTTTTTAATGGAATAAAAATTTGTACAAATGGGGTTTGTCTATGTACTTTAACCTCGAACCTAAATGAATTTCTTCAAGGGGAGTATTCAAGTAATCACAATTTTTTTCCCTTTATCTTAATCTTGGGAACTTGAGACGGCGGGTGTAATTGGTGACAATCGCCATTTGGAAGAGAAAAGCAGCGACATTAGGAGATTGAAACTTGTAGAAGGAGAGAGAAAAATAAAAAAAGTAAATAGTAGTTGGCAGTAAAGAAGCCAGCAACTCGACTCTAGACACTATACAGCTTGAAAGCTTTTCCTAATAATAAAGTCTCTTACTAGTCACTTTGCCCCCACTCAAGTACTCTGTTGCAGACACGTGTATTCAAAATTGCAAATGATTGGCTCATGTCAAAATAAAAAAAAGGATGGCGTTACAAAGTGTGTGGCCCAAAGGCCATAACTTGCGCCTTAGAAAAAGAACGCGTCTCAAAATGTGTGGCCCAAAGATTATAACGCGTTTAAAAAAAAAGAAACACTCTCACGGTATTATTTTTCTTCTTTGCGCTTTTTCATTAGTTTACTCCAATGTACAGCAACACTACCAGCAGCAGCAGCAGCAGCATCAGCACCCGAAAAAAAGTGTCCTTCAACGGCTTGTTTGTGTTTGGTCCAAAGGCCATTCACAAGCATGTCCCAAAGCTGTTGAGACACACATTTCTGGTTAGATTAGCCAAAACTAATCTAGCCAAAGTTTTTGATCGAAAGATCAAAAAAGTGAAAATAATTGGTAAGTCATGTCTCTATATAATAGTAGATAAACAATATAATATTAATCAATAATATACATATAGCACCAGACCTGCCCAAGGGGCTTAAGCGACGATTGGAGAAAGAAAATGAGCTGGAGCACAAAGCTACAGCTCATTTTATCAAGCAAAAGAAAATGAGAATAGAAGAAGAAGTACGAAGAAGAAGGGATATAGACCCAAGAGAAGCAGAAAGAAGAAGAAAAGCAGAAAGAAGATATGTAGAAGCAGTAAGAAGAAGAGAAGCAGAAAGAAGAAGAAGAGAAGCAGAAAGAAGAGACGAAGAAAGAAGAAGAGAAGAAGAAAGAAGAAGAGAAGAAGAAAGAAGAAGAGAGATAGAAAGAAGAAGAGATGAAGAAGATGATGATTATGAAGAAGAAAGTGATGAAGAAGAAGAAAGTGATGATGAAGAAGAAGAAAGTGATGATGAAGAAGAAGAAAGTGAAGAAGAAGAAGAAAGTGAAGAAGAAGAAAGTGAAGAAGAAGAAAGTGAAGAAGAAGAAGAAGATGATGAAGAAGAAGATGATGAAGAAGAAAGTGAAGAAGAATATGAAGAAGAAGAAGAAGATGATGATGAAGAAGAAGAAGAAGAATATGAAGAAGAAGAAGATGATGATGAAGATGAAGAAGAAGATGATGATGATGATGAAGATGAAGAAGAAGATGAAGATGAAGAAGAAGAAGATGATGATGATGACGGAGAAGAAGATGATGAAGAAGAAGAAGATGGTGATGATGACGAAGAAGAAGATAATGAAGAAGAAAAAGAAGAAGAAGAAGACGAGGATGACGGTGATTATGAAGAAGACGATGATGATGATGAAGAAGAAGATGAAGAAGAAGATGAAGACGAAGATGATGATGATGATGATGATTATGAAGAAGAAGATGAAGAAGAATATAGTGAAGATGAAGAATATAAAGATGATTATGAAGAATAAGGCGAGGAGTTGGCAACAGGAAGCAACAGAAGCAACATACTAACATACTAACAAGCAACAGACACTAACAAGCAACGGGAACTAACAAGCAACGGGAACTAACCTTACTCACAACTAACTACAAACAATTAACTTTTTGAACAACTAACATTATGAACAACTAACATTACTGACAACTAACTTTACTAGCAAAATCCGGATCAGAGTCATAGCTAGAGTTATAATTAGTTATAAGCATAGCCAAAAAAAAAACAACTCTTATATATTTTAACCAAAATGTGTTATTATATATATTAGGAGCTTTGCTCCCCCCTCCCCTCGGGGGGAGGGGCCATTGGCCTATAAAGTTCTATATGAATTTTCCTACTGTTAATTGTGTACGGCACACAATTACCAAGTAGTATAGGCCTTATATTTTATTTTATTAAGAAACAAGTAAGTTAGAGAATACGTGACAAAAGTTATAAGTTGTATGACATGATCTCTAACTTCATCCTGTTTTTCTCATTAGACTAGGAGCTTTGCTCCCCCCTCCCCTCGGGGGGAGGGGCCATTGGCCTATAAAGTTCTATATGACTTTTTCCTACTGTTAATTGTGTGCCGTACACAATTACCAAGTAGTATAGGCCTTATATTTTATTTTAATGAAAAACAAGTAAGTTAAAGAATACGTGACGAAAGTTATAAGCTGTATGACATGATCTCTAACTTCATCCTGTTTTTCTAATTAGATAAAATAAAATGAGCTGCTGGGAGCATCGCTTTTAGCTAAAGGTCTAAATGCGGGATAAAAGTCGAAATAAAAGCGAATGCTGGAAATGTTGTTATATTATATTGCTCGTTTTTTTTTATCATTATTATTACTATCATTATTGCGAAAGTAAAAAATCCCCTAAAAAAAGTCTGAGGGTGCCCGGAGCACAGAGACATGTTGTGGAGATTGTACAAAAGAAACCATGTACATCTGACAAGCATCTGAGATTAGCATTAAAGAATATTATCGTTTGTAAGGCAAACAGTACTTGACCATCTTGTTTTCTCTTTCAAGTAATTCAGTAGTAGGTTTGAGTATTACAGCTCTCAAACTATCTTCGACTAAAAGATGGTAACAACAATTGTTACGATGGGACTGAGACTCATGTCAATTGAGTAGATGACAAATTAAGAAACATAGTTTAGTGTGATGGCTCAGGATTCACAATGCGGTATGTAACGATGGGACTGCCTGAGTGATAAGTAAGAAATCACTGATAAGAGGTGCACGTACATTGATGATATATATGCATGTATATATATCTTATTATTATTTTGACTCTTAATAAAGCAATGTTCTCATGCTATCCACTTTTCCATTGTTGAGATAATAACCCTAGTATTTATCCCGAATACCTCAGAAGCCTCAGAAGGAATAAGCCAGAAATCTTCCTTGTGCATTATATTAAAAAAAAATCAATCAATCAAAACGGTTATAATGCTCGTCTTATGATAAATTTTGTTTTGAGAAAGAGAATAATAGCCATATATAGCGTGAGTGATAGTAGTCATTTTGCCTCCCTGTTCAATAGAATAAAAAGAATAAAAAAGTAGTTTAATACAACTTCCATTACATCCTCAAGGTTGTCCTTATTTTAATCGGAATCGTGTATTCTGACGTTGGTTTTAAAGTTCTTTCCTTTTTAACAGCCATAGAAATGCCTAACGCTGTTCTCATTTCTTTTAAAGCCAATAACTACCCAAATCGGTGGGAAAGAAACACAGAAATAATAGAGCATTTATTATTATCATTTATATATGTCTAATAACAAAAAGTGGTTTTTCATTTTGATCGCTATGTTTTCTTTTAATGAAAGTAGGAAAGCTATGCTAAGACAGTCAAAGAGATTGTACTTGTGATTTAGCAGAATATTGAAATTATGGTGACCATTAAATTCGTATAGGTTTGTAAATTGTTGCTTTTTATCAGTTACTTTTAGATGTCTATATAAATCACCTTAGGAGAAAGAAAGAAAGAAAAACGTAGGATTCAAGCCGTATGACCGTTAACAATTTCACAATTTCACTCTCTTCTTCTGCTTCGGTGCCAATTGGTGAATAGAAATAATTATGAGACTTCAAGAAATATAAAGAAGCTAATGAGCTACCTCATTCTTAAAGTAATCGAAATCTGGCAACGATTGGCCGACCCTTTTTTTTTTTTTTTAAAAAAAAAAAGACAACGTTGGTTATTGTTGTGACTTGGATCTTGCACTTTTTAAAAAGAAAATCTTGTGTAATGCAGTTAAGGACCTATTCCTATCTTTTTTATAATTATTATTATTACTATTAAAGAAAAGCAATGAACAGCGATAATGAAGATAATGAGTTTGATAATGCCTGTGCTCTTTCAGAAAAATCTTTTCTTGAGAGTATAAATGAGGAAGAGAGAGAACGCAATGATATGATTGAAGCGATTGCGGCGTCACTTGGAAAGACGCCCGACCAACTGACAGCCAGAGAGATGCTTACCTTGACGCTCAACCCACCACGAAAACGTGCATTTTTCGATAATTCGGCTGAATCTAGTAGAAAGAGATCATATAACACATTACCCATTCGCTACTGGGATGGTGTTGTCAAATTGACACATGTTTCTGGGTTTGTTGGGACCCAATTCATTCGCTTTCAAGACATTGTTGAAAAGGCAAGAATGAGCAGAAGAGAAGCCCCCTTCCCTCTAAAATATAACAAAATAAAAAAGGAATATATACATATATATAAAGAAATGGAGAGAGAGAGAGAGAGAGAGAGAGAGAGAGAGAGAGAATTTATTGCTGGTAATGCCAGTGGTCAACAGGAAAGTTAATATCTCCAAAAAAAAAACCTTCCCATATAGTCAACATTAAGAAAGGCGTTGGTAACAGCATTTGTATGCAGTATGGAATGGATTGAAGAGCAATTCCCGAGTAGCATAAATATGTGTATTGTACTCCATGGACGTCCTGTAAGAAATAAATCCAAAAATCTGACTTTAATGAGATTTAGTAAATCTTTAATTAACTCTTTTTTCAGATAATAATAAAAGAGAGTCAAAGACATATAGTAACCTATAATGTATGTGTGGTTTTTTATTTCTTTAGGCCATTCGAAGCCAAATAGGTCCTAACAGACTTCTCATTCAGCCACCGATGCTTGATGATACATATGGTGTATTTCATCCAAAACTCATGCTCTTGTTCCGTGATGAATCTTTACGTGTTGTTATTGGATCAGCTAACATGGTTAGTAGTAATCAAAGAAGAAAAAACAGAAGAAGTATCAGTTGATGACCCGTAATTAACAAGTACAATGCTTTATTTCATATATCTCTATAAAAGGAACGTTATGACTATGAAGATATTGAAAATGTAGTATTTATTCAAGACTTCCCAAAACTATCCAAGAAATTAAAAGCTGTATCCGAACTTCCTACGTTTGCTAAAGATCTGTGTGACTTCCTTGATCGTGTACGGGTCCCAGCATCAGTAAAAGAGGCATTCCTGGATTATGACTTTAGTAAAGCAAAAGTAAATATCTAAACAGACACAAATACTCAGAAACATACAGAAAGCACTACCTTTTTACCGATCAATTGTAACTTATTATAATATTTCATCTTTTTATTTCTATAGGCTCATATAGTAGCCTCTGTGTCTGGTACATTTGAAGGAAATAACTACAATAAATATGGCCATACTAGATTAGCCAAAATCGTAAAAGATATTGGAGCATCTGATCCGGATAGATTACCAATGGTTGAAATGCAGGTAATGATACTAATAATAATAGTAATGGCAGAGAATTTTACTGTCGATCTAATGTGTGTATTTGTTGCTTACATGGAACTTTTACTTTAATTTATTTTTTATTTTGAAATAGACCTCCTCCCTCGGTTCACTTAATACATCATACCTTCACGAACTCTATGCATCATTCTGTGGATTAGACCAGTTTGTGGATGGTGTCAGGCCCAGTAATAGGAACAAGGAGCTGCCACCAATAAGTATAGTTTATCCAAGTCGCAATACAGTTGATTCCAGCCGATTAGGACCATCCGTAAGTTTAATATATATATATATAATGTTTCAAGAATGATTCTAAAGAAAATCTAAACCTTTAAATTTTGATTGATGTATTTATTATTCTGGTATAAAATTATTAAATGTTCAAAAGGGAGCTTCCACAATTTGCTTAAACACTGACACATGGAACAAATCGACTTTTCCTAAACAAATTATGTGTGATGCGATTAGCTATAGAGATGGGACACTGATGCACAGCAAGGTAAATCCTATGTATAAAGAAATATACTATGATTAAAAGACTTATATTGTATAACTGCTTCTAGTACATCATTGCTACTTTACCACATGGGAAACCTGAGCGCACACAAAAAAACAAGGTGGATGGCTGGATTTATTGCGGGTAAGAGTTTTATTAAATTCATTTAGTTAGTAAGGGGATGTCTGTCTACCTTTCTGTCTGTGTGCATGTATACACCTCTGAACAAAATTGTACTTGTAGGAGTCATAATGCAACAGTGTCTGCTTGGGGAAAGACATCATTCAACAAGATATCTAAACGACCAAGGATAAGAATGAGGTAAGATATATATGTATGCGAAAATTTATACCAAACTAAAATGAATATCTATTTAACCAAACTAAAAAAAAGTAACTGGGAACTGGGTGTCGTATTTCCAATCAACGAGTCTACTGATATAGTAGCACCTTATATCCGCCCACCACCAAAGTACCGTGCTGGACAAAATGCCTGGACACAGTCAATGTGATTATCACCACTCTACTCTACTCTATTCAATTCGATTCAAATGACATATATTGTGTGGTTCTTCTTTATTTTCTTAATCTCTTCTTTTTGGGGAGTTTTTTTTTAATTCATATTATTCATATTATTATTTTATAGTGGTATGATTAGGTGTATTTAAATGATATGTGAAAGCTATAACAATGACAATAGTAATAAGAAATTGTAGATATAAAAGAAAGAGAGAGAGAGAAAAAAAAAGCGATTGGCTTAAGTAAGTTTTAAGCACAAATAATAAATAAAATAAAATAAAAAGTAAAAATAAATAAATAAATAATATATGTATATATGTATATATAAAGAGTACGAATAATAAGGGGGAGAGTAATTAATAATTAGACGAGAAGAATGGAAGGTGAAGGTAATGGTGAAGGTAAAGAGGAGGACGAGGACGAGGACGAGGGCGAGGATGAGGACGAGATTTTTCTTTCTTTCTTTTTCTTTTTGGCTTGTACTACCAAGTCATTCAAGGTTGAATTGGAAGATGTTGGGTTCATTCATTTACCCAAGATGCTCCTCTCTTCAGCCATTTTCCCAACAGGATCGTTACATCATTCACAACAAACCCTCCAATGACTATACAGATAAGATCGCAGATCTTATTTAACCTGTGCATTGCAAGTTCATTTTTAGAATCATTGGATTTTGTTTGATAGCTGCCAAAATGTAACAGCCAATGCTCTACAAGAAATAAAGAAATCAAATACAAAAATACAAGTCAGGACACACAAGCACACAAAATTATATATGTAAGTATCAATGTATAACTTACCCAATATGTGAACTTTGTCAAACAACCTTTGTAAGCTTTCAATATAATTTCGGTACTGATCTTCACTATAAAGCATAAAAAACACATACACACAAAACGTTACACACACATACACATAAACTGGGAAACTTCTTCTTTTGTCTTTCTCCACAAAAGAACGTTATTGAGGCTAGTGAATACATACTATTTCGTCAGACTAAAGGCATTCATTCGTTCGACAGATTTCGATATTTTTGTTCCCCATGATAAGAATGATTGAGTTTTCTTTGACGAAGTAGTCTCATGAGCACTAACAAAGGTACTCATTCCTGCAGATCCCACAGATTCTTTCCCCGATGATCCACTGTAAGAGTGTCCGCTAATACCGCTGAACACACTGCCATTGCCGTTGCCGTTGCCGTTTCCATTGCCATTGCCATTGCTACTATTGCTGTTGCTACCGTTGCTGCTGCTGCTGTTGCTGCTACTGCTATTGTTTGTTCCGTTTGAATTTGTCGAGTTTACACTATCTCGTTTAAGTTTCTTGGAAAGATTCGTTTGTAACCCCTCGATAGATTCCAAGAGCACATCCAAGACTTTTATACTTCCAGATACATCGTCGAGTTTCTTCCACTTGTCAAGTCGTACAAGGTGTGAGAAAAGAGATTCACAAGCTGCTGATTTGACATCCACTGAAGCAAGTTTAACGTTTGATTGATTCCTTGATATAGTATTTATATTATTTAGCCAAATGAAGAATATATATATATATATATATATATATATATATATATACGTATGTGTCTTTGTCTGCTTGTACTTTTGTAACTGCATATATCTACTCACCACAAGTTTTTTGGAACATAAAGACGACTTGTTATGTACCCGCCATCAATCATACTTTGCTCAAGTAAAAGAATAAGCCTCAAGTGTTTGCTTTTCTCTAAAAGGGTATCACCACCGGCTGCTTCTTCTGGTGGACGACCGAAAGGATGATTGCCAACTCGATTATCTCCTATTCCTCCTCCTTGCTGTTGTTGTTGCTGCTGCTGATGCTGATGATGATGATGTTGTTGTTGCTGATACTGATGCTGGTTTTGCTGAGTATTTTCATCAGAATTGAACATTCCGTTGTTCGAAGCTGTTTGGTTAGAATATTCATAAGAAGTGTCGTTGTGAGACGGACGTGGCGTCATGAGATCTTTCATAAGCAAACCAAAGTTCGATGTTCCTTTGTCTTTACGTGCCATACCATCCATACTCGAGCGTGACAGTCGATTTGCCTTTTTACGAATACTTCCGATCCCAGAGGTCTGTTGGAGCATAAAAGGCCGCGAAAGACTCACTACCAAGCCAGACTCGGCTTGTTCTTTTGGGTTGAAAGGCGGGGGCTGGGTCAAGGCCCGTCGCATCGGTACCGTTTCTCGATCATCGGTAGGAATACTGATTTCGGACATTGGTACAGATGAAGACAGGTTCTGGAAGGATTCCGACAATTGTTCGGGTCCCGGCGTTGGTGTGAGCGTGGGTGTGGCCGTATTTGAGCCTGGCATAAATAGTTGCTTCGGAAGACTACTGGTTCTTGTGCGCATGGATGATTTGGAGGACATGCTGAGAGCATTTGCAATACCATGTCGACCGGTAGTACGCTCAACCATGGTTGCCTTTTGTGCGGGGTAAGAAAATTCTTCCTCTACTTCCACTTCTCCCTCCTCTTCCACTCCCTCTTCTCCATTTTCTGCAGCTGAGCTTGCTACCGAAACTGTTACAGTTGCTGCTGATGCTGCTGATGCTGGTGCTGCTTCATACTCATCTTCTCCTACTCTTTCCTCTCCAGAGGTATCCGGATGAACTGTTTTTTCAACTGCCTCTAATTTGGTTGCACGGAGAGATGGAAGTGCCATAGACGGCTGGTGAGTGTTAATTTGTACATAAGAAATAGTCTTGAGAGATGCCTCTTCTTCTATAGAAGAAGCAATTGAGTAGGCTGAGGATCCAGAAAGTCTACTATTTGATCGACTGAATTCAATTGACATTTTTTGAGAAGCAAGCTCCCTTTCTCTTTCTCTTTCTCTTTCTCTTTCTCTTTCGCTTTCCTGTTCCTGTTCCTGTTCCTTTTCTTTCTCTCTTTCTTTCTCTTTCTCTTTTCCTTTGGACTTCATCCTAGCTTTGAGGATGTTACTAATTGGTGATGATGGGGTTTGAGGTGGCGTCGAGGGTTTCAAGAACATTCGTCGGTTCATGTCGGGTCTAGGAGCCTTGATTACAGAGAGATCGTGTAGGGACGGAGAAAAGGGTGTGATTTCATCAGGCACTCGGTGTTTTTGCTTTAATTCGTGGGATAATTCGATTCTAGATTGTAGTGGGGTGCTTTTGGAAGCCTGTAGGTTCGACACTAGTGTAGAGGTAGATTTGGATGATGATGCTGACGATAATGATAATGATGATAATGACGGTGGTGACGACGAGGACGACAACGTGGTATCTTTGGCGGGTGGTAATATGGTTCGTGAATTTCCATGCGTACGTGGCGATGATCCATTTTCGTGCTGCCGGCGCATCATCGATCGAGTGGTAAGTGGGGGTGAGTTTGTAGATGGATCAATTGAGACTAATGATGTCGTTGACGAGGTTTTGCTCAGGGTATCATGATCATCAAATTTGGAGGGTGAGGTGGGGCTCTTTGGATCATAATTAGATGATGTTCCACTCTCAATAGAGGAAGACGAGGTTGTTCGACGGATAGCAGTTGTGAGTATTCTGTTGGAACGTGAGAATTTTCGTTGAGCGGGTTGAGATAACCAAGACCTTTGTTCATTGTCTGCTCCATTTCCACTTCCATTTCCACTTCCTCCTGATGCTATATGTGTTGATGTTGTTCCTCTCGATGCACGTTTGGGTCTAGTTGGACTCAAGTCTTCTCTAAAAGTCTCATACAATTCGTCATCGTCGGATCTTGATGAAAAGGCGCCAAGTAAACGTAAACGCTCAGAGTAAGAGTCGTGCTACCTCATCATGAAAATAAAATAAAATAAAATTATTAGCTTATCCAATTCTTTTATTATTAATAATAATATGATTAGAAAGATGTATACCAAAAAGTAAAAATTACTTCTTCTATACCCCCCACCCCTTTTATATTTATATTTATATTTATATTTATACATTTATCTAATTAATCTTCACAACCCCCTTTAGCCAACCCATTAATCAACACTCAAAGGCAATCTTCCTCGTCCCCCTCTTGCCCCTCTTCCTCCTTCTTCTTCTCTCCTTCCAACTCTCTTGCACACACATACACTCCCCTCTATATACACGCACACACGCTTCTTCCTTTTTTTTTTACAGGTATAATAAATAAATAAATTACTATTATTCTATTGCTATCCTATACTATAAAATACAATGCTAACAATACTAGCAATATAATATAAAAGTAACCCAATTAATAACAATTAGTTTCGTTTGATACCTACGATCTCTTGTAGCCGTTGTCTGTCGTTCTCTCGTTCGACTGTACCGAGTACTTGATTCAACAAGGCGATTGCCTCTGAATATGCATCCATTGCACCGACTACATCATTAGCCGAATCACAGAGTACAGCAGAGTTGGCTTTCTGAAGAGCTGTCCTTAAGATGACTCTAGAGAGATGCCTTGAGTTTGCTGGTACTGGCACTGGCACTACTGCTTGTGATGGTGGTTGTGATGGTGATGAGGGTGATGATGCGTGCGATGAACCAGAGACTATGTGATGCGTATTCGTCGATGTGGATGCGCTCTCGTTTTGGTTCATCGTCATCATTCGATTGTTTGGGTTGTGATTGAATTTACAAACAAAAGAAAATGGTTTGGGCTATGCTTCTTGGACTTTGGCTTGGACTGTATGGTACTGGAGTGTATTGTGTTGTATTGTGGTGTATTGTGGTGTATTGTACTGTATTGTACTGTACTGGACTTGGGGCTGACTTGATTTTTATTTTATTTGATTTTTATTTTGCCCTTTCTCCTTTTCTTTTCTTTCTTTTTTTTTCCTTTTCTCTCTATATATATTCCTTTCTTTTTGTGTGTGTATATATACTGCTTAATGTAACTATTGCTATGAGTATTATTAAAAGTATAGTTATTATTCTGTATTCGTTATTCTTTATTCGCTATTATTATTTTGGTTGAGAGCAACACAGGTGTTACGCCCATCACTAAAACACAATCCGAGTTCAGTTACTATCCAGTGTAAAGATCGTTTGTCCTACACTCGGCAATGAAAATCCAAAAGACTCGTAATATAACTGGCCAAAAAAACGAATGGTGGATTTCATAGTGATTTGCGATGTTTTAAAATAATAAATAATATTCAATTCAATTCAATTGTAATTATAATTATATTATATTCATAGCAAGTGAGTAATATATATATATATATAATAAAAAGAGAGACAAATAGATATGCCAAGAAAAAGAAGAACATTTTTTATTTTGAAAGCAAACAATCTTTACAAGTAGTATATGCAATGTATGAATGCTTATGAATGTTTATATATGTATATAAAGAGATAGAGAGCGTGGGTATGCGTATATTGTGTTTAAGTAACTATAAAGACAATGCGCAAGAACCAAAAAAGAAAGAAAAGGCGGTTCACATACATCAAGTAGAACGAGTAAAAGAAAGGCGATTTTAACCTCACCAGGCTTACAATAATACTAATGGTGGTATAAAATGATCATAGTAATAACTATGCTGTGGTACAGATCAATTGTAAATTAATATGTACACTTGTGTTCATATTTACGTTATTATTTCTTGGGTAAATGTTCTATTCAAACAAATTAAACATGTAGCTTAATCGAGACCAGACCTATACATCACCCATATTATATACATGAAATACAGATATTTATATATGGATATAAATGTGTTGATGCCACTTGCAAATTCATTCATTATTTTCCTTATTTATCCACCACGGATGCGATATTTATTTTCATTTTGAATCCCAGATAGCTTATATATATAAAAAAAAGCATAATTATCTTGCGTTCGATTGGCCAAATTCAATTTAAAGATAATTCGTGCCTGTATCTATGGACGTGTATTTATATGTATGTGTGGTGGTTGAATAAAGCATTTCACTGCTTACGATCGTCACATTGTGATTTTATAATTACGATTATAGTTTTATACAGAGTAGGTAATCGTATTACAGAATTTCTGTCTAAAATTTATATTAAAGAAGAAGTCTACAGAGGCAGTAACTGAATGAAAAGCAACCAGTGAATAATTACAAGATGTACTCAATGTAGAAAAGATAATAGATACATGGACATGTATATAAAAGCAAGACACCTATTACTAGAATATTTTTCTTTCTCAACTTAAAAGAGTACTAATCTACCAAAAAATCGGTAATGGAATTCTACTGGCTTACCTTTACTATTAAGGTTTTTAAAGTTTTCCTTTTATTTTATTTTAAAAATAAAATATTTTAATTTTTATCTAAAAATAAAAATCGAAACCCCCCTCTCCTTCTCCCCCGCACCCTTTTCCCCACCCCTTCTCCCCTTTACCTCTTCATTACAAAATGTAGTGTCCAAGCTTAGGTGTTCTGCCTTTGTTCTACAGACAATTTATCTCCATCTCAATATTTATTTTATTATTTTGTATTCTTGATCAATAAAATACGGCTAAATACATACATTTATATAGAAATCTTGTTTATTACAGGTAAATTATTTTTGTCGTGAGCCTGTGTGTGTTGGTTCAAGTATACATAGTTACAACAAGAATTGATGTAAATTAATATGCAAGAATAATAATAATAAAAAGGTGGGTGTCATGTAATACCTAATCTGATATATATACATAATTATACATAGCGCAAGAAATGTAATGCTGTTGAACATAGACTTCTTTACACATAATATTAAATACTAATTTAATGAAACCATTTATATTTTGCATTATTTACGTTTCATTCCATTTTCTTGGTCTTTCTGTCCGTGTTTTGTCTATATTCTTTCTATATCTTTTAAAGACTGCAATTACTAAGTAACATAACTTGACTCACTTTTTCATTTTTTCTCTTTAATTCTGTGAACCTATAAATTATGTCTGCTCAAGGTTCAAGGTTGCTTTTTTTTTTAGCTTTCAAATCCTTCAATTTGTAAGGATTTACTGGATTTCCGCCTTGCTTTAAAAGCATATACTCATGTTCGATATCTTTTTTTTTGTGGCTGGGCTTAGCTTATATATATATATGTAATTGATATATATTTTTTCTCTCGCTTTCTTTAGATATATTATATTTGGGTGTGAGTCTACAAGAGGTGCTTATTTTTAATATATTCCAGAATAACTAATTTTCTATCCTCTAGATACTTCTCTGCTGTCTTGGTCACATCTACTAGTCTGTATTAAAAAACAATATGACAGGCGTTACAACTCTGTATATAAAGCATACACCCCGCACTATTAACATTTTTTTATTTGCAATAAAAGATATAAAATTTACATATCTTTTTTATGTATAGCTGAAAAGATAATAAAATAAAGTAATTAACTATATGCATACACATATGTTGTGTAGGTAAAGAGCCCGTTGAGGAAGGGTTTGGTCTTTACCCCTCTCACTAAGTATTTTTTTTGGTAAGCCTCAATCCTCTAAAGAATCTAACCAAGGTAAGAAATATATATAATATTAGAGTCCCTAGCCACCCTGTGAGCCGGGCTTTTACCGGAGCAAATCAAAAATTAAAATAATAATAAAAGGCAACCCGCCCTCCCTTGTTCCCAGGGCAAACACGTTTAACCGGAGCACAGTAATAAAAAGAAAAGGATTAGTACAATTTATAGGAATTTGTCTAAATGACTTATTTTATAAAGTAAAAAGTTTATATCTTAAACACACAATTCAACACATTGATAATAGTAATAATAGTTTTATTTATTTTTATTTGGTTTATGAAATACAAAAGGGAAAAAAAGTCAATTTCTTTTTTGATATATTATATTCAACTAATCAAATAATATGTTTTTTTTTATCAGAATGAAATAATAATAACAAAGAAGTATACAAAGAAGAAGTGGGAGTGGGGAGATGGTAAGGGAGATAAGATAAGATAAGATAGAATAGAATTTTTAATGCATTTTTTTTTGGAAATGAAAGAAATAGAAAAATGATGAATCGAGGGTTACTACTAACACTACTATTGCTACTTGACTGCTATTACTACTAATACTATTATTATTATTATTATTATTGTTGTTGTTGTTCTTTTCAGTTATGTACAATACGTGAGAAATGGATAAAAATTAAATTAATACAATTAACAATGAAAAATAAAGAGGGAAATAGAGAAAGGGAGAGAAGTAAAGTAAAGTAGAGTAGAGAAGTCGAGAAGAAATGGAATGGAATGGAATGAAAATAGTATAATATAAAATAAAATAGCAAACACTTCTTTTACTTCTTCTTTTTCTAGTTGTGGAATGCGTCTCTCCAGGATTTCAAGTTGGACGGAATACGTTTCCATGTTGAAGGCTTCAAGATACTGACACCTTCCAAAGGATCGAAACGTTTGTTCTCTTCCATTTCCATTGTGTGTCTATAATAGTAATAAAAGTTATTTAGATTAGCAAACGTTTATAAAAGCGTTTTCTTTCTTTTTCTTTTTTACCTAAGAATTTCTTCACGTCCGGTATCAAGATCAACTTCCATCAAAGGAATAAACTTTGATTTCATGACAATCTTGTATCCAAAATAAAAGATGAGCACGATGGGAATACCAATATAGCAGGCCACGATATCCAATGGGTCAACAGGATCTGCAGACCAGGCGTCATAGCCCTGGCCGACCAAGACAAACGAACAGATGAGGAAGGCGAAGATGGGGCCGACAGGGAAAAGACGGGCCTTGAACGGCAAGTCGGACACAAGATGACCCTGGGCGACATAGGCTTGACGGAACCGGTAATGAGATGCGGCAATACCGAGCCAGGCAATGAAACCAGCAACACCAGAGATGTTCAAAAGCCAGTTATAAACGACACCATTTCCAAACAGAGAGGTCAAGAAGGCAAGCATACCAATTAGGCCAGTCAAGAGAACGCAGTAGATGGGAATTCCAGCCTTGGTGACTTTCTTAAACACACGGGGTGCCTTGTTTTCGCAGGCAAGGTCATAAAGAGTTCGGCTGGAAGCATAAAGTCCGGAGTTACCGGCCGAAAGAACGGTAGTTAAAATGACAGCATTCATAAGGTCTAGTAAAAAAAATGCAAAAATTAGTTAACTTTTAAAAATAAAAAAATAAAAATTAGGTCACTATAGCAACATACGAGCAGCAGGTTGAATTCCAGCTCTTTGGAAAACAAGAGTGAAAGGCGAAACAGAAACATCTCCAACATCATTCTTGAGAAGCATAGGGTCATCAAAGGGAATAATAAGACCGATAATGAAGATCGAAAGGATGTAGAATAAAACGATACGCCAAAAGACCTACAAATAATAATAATAATAATAATAATAATAATAATAATGATAATTTCAAATAAATAAAATCATATTTGTTAGTTAGATTCTGTCATTTACATAAATGTATATATATATATATACCTGTTTGATAGCCTTTGGAACGTTCTTTTGAGGATTTTCACTCTCTCCTGCAGCCACACCAATCAACTCTGTACCCTGGAACGAGAAACCGGCAGTCAGGAAGGTGCTGAGGATACCAGTACCTCTGACGCCACCAGATCTGAATACTTCGACACCATAGTAGACATCGCCCAAGACAGCAGTGTCGACAAGAATTCCAAGGAAAATGAAGACAATGACAGTCAAGACTTTGATGAGAGCAAACCAGTACTCCGCTTCACCTATTTTAAATAATAAAATAAAATATATACACGGATAAATTAATATATAATATATATCAAAGTCAGAAGAAGCAGAAGAAGCAAAAACTCCGACCTTTTGACATTATATTATGTACACACACACACATATATATAATACTATTATTTCTTTTAATTGAAAAATAGAAAGATTCTTACCATAACCCTTTACTGAAAACAAGTTGAGACTAAGGACAAGAACCAAGAATACAATTGACCAAACGTATCCAGGAACCCATGGAGCCCAGAAAGCCATAACCATTGAACCGGCAGTCTACATATACATATGATGAAATAGAGTGTGAGAAAATAATTACTTACGATAAGGTTTAAGATCAATGTTTCACGACTTGATTCAAGGCAGTACAAGAAACGTAAAAAAAATAAAAAAATAACTTACAAGTTCTACAGCCAGAGTGACAGCCCAGTTATACCTAATCCAAAATAGGTTAGAAGATGTTTGATCAATAATACAAAAAAAAGTTAACAGTCATACCAGTAGTTCCAACCCAAAGCAAAACCCAAGGCTGGATCGATAAAACGACCAGCATAATTGTTAAAACTCCCCGAGATTGGAAGAAAAGTAGCCTTTGGAATGTGCAATAATGAAAATAGAAGAAAAAGAGAATTGTTGTTAACAAAAAAAAGAATATATAAAAGAGGGTTGTATGTATATATATATATATTTACCATTTCACCAAGACACTCCATCATGAAGAATACCATGATACCAATGAGAGCATAGGCAATCAATGCACCGCCAGGACCTGCGTTGGCAATTGATGCACCAGAAGCCAAGAAAAGACCTGTACCGATAGTACCTCCAAGCGAGATCATAGTAAGCTATAGAAATATGATATATAAATACATATGATATGGTTGTGGTGGTTGTAATGGTAACGTACATGGCGAGCCTTGAGACCACGGTGCAGATGTGGTTTTTCACTTTCGGCTGTACCGGATCCAGATACGTCTGATCTACCGGTATATACTCGTTCGATGTCTTCCACATACTGGCTCGCTGAGTCTCCCTTGACGTCTACGGAATGGTGCATTGGGCTTCGCCGGGAGAGGACATTTTCCATTGCAATTGTCTCTGAATTGTCTATATCTTTACTTTTCGATCTACGCGCAGGTGATCCAGACATTGTATGAGAGAGATTGTTGATAATCGATATGTTATGTATATGGATATATATTTATATGAATTTATATACACAAGATAATATATAAATATATATATATATAGTATATATAATATATATATTATTTATCTATTTATTTTTTTGATCTTTTTGTTGCAAAAAGAAATAAACCCTAAAATTATTGTGGTAGGACTGTCTTGATAAGATTATATTTTTTTTTAAAAAAAAAAGGTTACGGTTAAGGAAATAAGATCTAGATTATCAAATTCCCTTTCCGATATATATAAAACAGTTAATAAAACGTTAATCATAAAAGGCTTTTTTACTGTAAGTCACAAGCAATTCAACCAATTAAATATACATTCATATTCATAATCCTTTCAAGAGAGGCAAATAATTATATACTCTATAGTCATCGAAATAATAAAGCATTCATTTTTACTCAATATACCAATGCTAAATACTACATGCTCAAAAAAGAAAGAAGGAAAGAAAGGCTTGTTTGTTTTTGCCATTAAAGAGTTCAATTGTATAGGCTAACCATTGTTTTAACATAAGATTCTACGCGATATATTAACCACTATCAATATAAGCATATATGCAGGTAAAGTTCTTGTGTATTTTGTGTACTTTGTGTGTACCGATAAATCAATGCAAAATATAATATAATATGTATAAAGATAAAAATAAAAAAATGAAACCAAATTCATTTCCAAAGAATTGTGACTTGCAGACACAGTATCTGATCACTGTTAGTTTTATTGTTTTTCTTCTTTTCACTATATGTATAGGAAGTATATCAAAATCAATTGGTAAAGAAGAAGGCTCATTATTATCTATTTATTAATATAAAAATAAATATTTTATTAATTGCTTCAATAAGTATACTGACACTATTAAATAATCAAAACGAGTACATTCAAATGAGAACAAGAACAAGAAGTAGGCAACATTACAGCGCCAAGAGTGACCCCATTTTCATGTACATCCCGACAGGTTAAAACAGCGTTACTTTTCCCAGAAATATACATCGTTCCTTTAACCACACCTTATTTGCTTGTCTTTTTGCATAACTATTTTCTTACAACTAAATTACTCATATCATCAACAAATAACTACGATTACAAACACAAATGAGCCATCTCTTGGAACGCCAATTAATAGCACCATCAAGTGTTAGGAAACTATCTTGAAAAACTAAATCAAAACGCCGCAGACCTGGCAGACCAAAAAACCCCCTCAAATCTCTACAAATGTTACGAGCTTTTTTCTGAATGTGAATCATAATTCTTCCTATAATCATGTATATATCCTTACAAAAATTGGCAGATTCTAGTTCCATCATATGTGGACCAAGTCGCATATGTTGACCATTTGTCCAAGGACTCCAATCCCAAATATGCATAATTAAATTACAAGCATTATACTATGTCCACAATCCAAAAAGATGGTAGTAGTTGTGCTATACTGGATTTCCTACACGACGTGGTAGAAAACACAGTCGAAAAGTTAAATGCCTTGTCTACTCGACTATCACAGTACCCAAGATCTAAACTTTAGTAAAGCATGTTTAATATGCTGTAAAAACCAAGATTCAAAATAGAAAATGATCTATAAAAACAAATGCTCTATATCGGAAACCCAAAGTCCTTTATGAATGGGGAGAATTTTGACTCAGAAACTGTGAATATTCTTGTAAAAAGCTTGTTCAATAGAATCAAAGAGGCAATGAAAACTCGTAGTGACTACACCATATATTATATTATTATTGTTTTGGAAGATATAGCATAAAGAAGCTGATGTACAGTTTATTTAATAATAAAAATCAAGAAATCTGACGGTATTTTAAAGTTAACTCACAGCTTTTATACGAGTTAGTAATTTTTTTTTAACAAGTCGGAAGCTTTCAAATCCTGACATTTCTTACAGTGTATGTTACAAGGTGTGTTTGGTTAAAGTCATCTGTCTGTATTGAGTCTCCTCTAAAAAATAAATCTCCACCAAAGTAATATTAAATAGACCATTATTATTATTATAGGTATTTATTTATTTTTTTGGATTTTTTATTTACAAAAATAAATACCAATTTTACATTCAATCATGGTCCCTACTCTCCCAGATACTACTCTTACCCAAAAGCAATGTTTCATAATTGGTACCCGCAAATCACAACTTGCCTTAGCTCAGGCTGAGCTCGTGCGCGAAACTCTGCAGAAATGGTACCCTCATATTGAATTCAGAGTTCACTCAATGTCAACGACCGGCGACCGGGTTCTCAATGTGGCCCTGAATAAAGTTGGAGAAAAGAGCTTATTTACCAAGGAATTCGAGATTGCCTTGCAAGACGGCCAAGTCGATTTGGTGGTACACAGCCTGAAAGACTTGCCGACAGTCCTGCCACCCGGAATGCATCTCGGTGCGGTAACGAAACGTGAAAACCCTCATGATGCCATGGTAATCTCAAAGAAACATAAAGAGCATACACTGGCCACACTACCAAAAGGATCGGTAGTTGGTACGAGCAGCTTGCGTAGAGTGGCTCAATTAAAACGAAGATATCCTTTATTGATCTTCAAGGACATTGTAAGTAAATTTATATTATTGCCGCCGCTACTGCTACTGCTGTTTTTGTTGTTGTATTGAGCAATTCAGTAACAAAGAAACTCAACTATACTTGTTTTATTTTATTATTTATTTTGTAGCGTGGAAATATGTAAGGTTTGCTTGAAACTTATCAAGATGAAATATTAACAATTTTTGGTTTCTATGTGTGTGTACGTGTTAAAGCAACACGCGATTAATGAAGTTGGATTCGGCTAATGGTGAATTCGATGCTATAATTTTGGCTGTAGCGGGTCTGAGACGCCTTGGAATGGGAGACCGGATTACTCAAATTATTGGGCCATCCGATTCATTACATGCTGTTTCTCAGGGTGCCCTTGGCATTGAATGTCGAGAAGATGATGTAGAATGCCGACAGCTGTTGGAAAAATTGAATCATGACCAGACACGTATAATGTGTTTGAGTGAGCGTTCGTTGATGCGTACCTTGGAAGGTGGTTGTACTGTACCTATTGGTGTGAATTCATGGTTAAAGCACAACGAGAGAATTTTGTGTCTGCGAGGGCTTGTGGCTAGTTTGGACGGTCAAAATGTGGTAGAGTTTGAAGATGAATTATCATTTGCCAATGTGACTTCCACGAAAGAAAAAGAAGCATTGGCGGTCCAACTTGGCAATGCAGTAGCAAAAGCACTTATCAACCTTGGCGCGGGCGCCATATTAAATGAACTCTCCAACATTCAACATTAAAGAAAAGAAATATTAATTTCTCCAAACATATTTCTTTCTTTCTTTTTGCTCCTCTTCTTTGTATGTATGTATATATGTAATTTGATTATTTGGACTGCTTCTTTTCCATATTACTTTAGACTTTAAAGCGTTCCTTTTAGGACAAAAGAAGAAAGGAACAAATAAAAAAGAAAAAAGATATCCAAAATCTGTCTTTCCTTTTGGTTCTGTTTTGGTTTTCTCTGTTGCAATAAATAACAGTAGTAATAAAAGGACTTTCTTGAAAGGATAATAAATAATGCGCATGATTTTTTATACCCAAAGTGTATTTATTACTGGTTCCTGTCCTGGCTAATTGACGAAAAAGCCACTGTAGCTCACACCCTTCTTGTTTGTCGGAATTTAGGTGACCTATTCTCTCTCTCCCCTCCCCTCCGCTACTTTTCTTTATTTCATTTACTTTTTAGCTAATGGCATCTCAATCAGCAAGACGTGTTGCCACTGGTTTGGTACATGTCATTCCACGTTCAAAAATATCTAGACCTAATATTTTCAGGACTTTTTCTACTACAGGTACGTTACTGGTCTTATAAATCTCACGTCAGAGTATATCCAAAGAAGAAACAAAACAAAACAAAACAAAAAAGTAACAAGATCATGTTGAATTCGTAAAAATAAATAAATTATTCAGGGCGGTCATTGCAAGACATTCCTTTCTCGAAAAGATTAGAATACCCTCGATTTGCAATCAAACCCGAGCATGGTCATTTCATGACCGTCAAGGATCTATCAGCGTTTGATAGTCAACTTTCCAAAGGTCAGAAAGCTGACACACTTGTCACACTAGCTGGTCGAGTTCAGGCCAAGCGCGAATCGAGTGCCAAACTAGTATTTTATGATATTATTCAGAATGGAGAGCCAATACAGGTTGTTGTGTCTCGTGGAAGGTTTGAGGGATCGTTCGATGAATTTGCAGCTGCAAACCAAGAGGTGTGTCGTGGTGATATTGTCTGTACGTAAAAATAAGAAGAAGAATATGTAATACGATATAGTATAGTGTAATAAAAGAAAGAATGAAAAGGCGAGACTTTATTTACTTTATTTTGTTATAAAAAATTAAAATATATAGCTTTTACGGGTGTACCTGGAAAGACAAATCATGGCCAACTCAGTGTGTTTGTAACCAAGGATATGAGGGTCCTCTCGCCTTGTTTACATGACATCCCGAAACATGAATTAAAAGATCCAGTATGTTTCATGTCAATGTACCAACTATATCCAAAAGAAACAAATAACAAGTACTTTTCGATTAATTCACAACACAATTCCATTCTTGAACATGTCCATTTATTATTATTAATTAATTGTAGGAAAAGCGATTCCGAGAAAGACATTTAGATATGCTTGTAAACCCTCATGTTACGGACATAATGCGTACTCGTACCAAGGTGAGAAACCCTTTCTCTTTCATTCTTTTTTTTTTTTAAAAAAAAAAACAACAAACTCACCTGGGAAAAGATTATTCGTTTTATTCGAAGGTTCTTGGATGATAGAGATTTCTTGGAAGTAGAAACGCCTGTTTTGTCTGGGAAGGCAGGAGGTGCAAATGCCAAACCTTTCGAAACCCACGCACATGCCCTTGACATGGATATGCAACTCCGTATTGCACCTGAACTTTATCTAAAGGTAAATAAAGTACAAAGAATATATTAATTCTCTTTACATTGATTTACAAAAAAAACGGTTTTTTTAAAACAACGATAATAATCAATATATCTATATTAAACCAATAGCAATTGGTTGTGGGCGGTATAGACAGGGTCTATGAAATTGGAAAGCAGTTTAGAAACGAGGGTATTGATGCTGATCACAATCCTGAGTTCACGACATGCGAGTTTTACCAAGCATACGGAAATTTAGAGAGTCTGATACAAGACACAGAAACAATGCTGTCAGGTAAAGTAAAACTAAAAGAAAGAGATAGATAGAGAGATATAATAAAGTAAAGAAGACAATGAAATCAAGAATGCAACTAATATTTCGAAATATTTTTTATAGAAATGGTGGAAAGTATTACTGGAACTCGTATTCTTGAATCTCACAAAGGTGAAGCCATTACATTTGACCGACCTTTTAAGCGAATCAATGTTTTGGATCGCCTTGAAACACAACTCGGTATTCCGATTGCAGAACTTGATGGAAAACGTAAGATTTCTAAACAAACAAAAAAATTACCTGATAAAATTCTCAAAAGAGCAAATGCGATCCTTACTCACTACCTCTTTTCGGGTGTTATTGCGATTGGTTGCCTATTGTGCAGTCGGTGTTGACACTCTACTACAGGCTTGTCGTGAATTGTCTATCCCAGTATCACGTCCTTTTACTACTGCACGCATTCTTGACAAACTAATCTCCCATTTGATTGAGCCTGAATGTACTCAACCTACATTTTTATACAACCACCCAATTGCATTGAGTCCACTGGCAAAAGGAGGTGTAGATGAGAAGGTAAAGTAAAATAGGAAAAAGAGAATAGCATATATATATTATCAATAATAGTAACCTTGTTGTCATTATTATGATTATTAGGGTCGTCGTATAGCCGCTCGTTTCGAGCTATTTGTTAGAGGAAAAGAAATTGTCAATGCTTACGAGGAGTTGAATGATCCTGTGGAACAACGTTTGAGATTTCAGCAACAAGCAAATGATCGTGTAGATGGTGACGATGAAGCTCCTGTACCTGATCTTGCATTCTGTCAAGCCCTGGAGTACGGTCTTCCGCCAACTGCTGGTTGGGGAATGGGTGTAGACCGGGTAGTCCAGATTTTGACAGGAGCTACACACATCAGAGAAGTGCTTGCATTTCCTGTAATGCGTCCCCTCCAGTCAACCACTCCCAAAACAAGTATAAGTGTTGCCTCTTTTTAATATAATGTATATATATATTTCTTACCCGCATATGTTATATGACTTATTTCTCTATTACTACTACTATTACTGTGCGTTTGTAATAGGACTATATCTATTGATCGATTGTTTGTTTGCTGTGTGTATACGGATATTCTGGATTTTTTGTGACATTTACAAATCTGCACATATACACATTTATATAGTAATAACATTTGAATGTTGCTTTATTTATCAAACCAATTGTCTAACTTTCATGTCTCGTTTCCACATTTGTTTATATATATATCGTCACCTTTAATTATTAAGGAAATTGTATACAGAGAGAAAGAAGAGAGAATTCTTGATTATTCTATTAGAGTATTAACTCATAATATTTATACCACATATATTCTGTATTTTATGTACTACTTCTAATTATTATTATGGATGCGAGTATTATAAAATCAACCATAAATAAATGGATATAGTGTGTATTTTGTTTAAGACAGGAATGCTAATCATTCAGGCACGACGTCTATCCAGAACAATGTGTTTACTTTGATCGCCACTTTTTTACTGTGGGGGTACACTGTAAGAAATGGCAGGATTTGTACCTCCGACCTCGTAATCTTTATAGCCAATAGCATGCTTGTTTTAGCCTATTAGCTTTACTTTTTGTCAAATATGATTTATGGAATTTCAGGTTATTTTTGCATCTAATCCAATCAAATATTCTAAATATGATAAGTCTATACCTTTTTAAAGTATCTCTATTCTTATAATAGATAACTTTGTCCTTAAGCCGAAAGTCGAGGTTTTAATATAAGTGCTCATTAAAATCCAGTCGACCTTATATTCTTCAAAAGTACCTGCTTTATAAAGGCCACAATAACGATAGAGTATATATGCATTGCAAGATTTTTTATATGAACTTTGTTCTGATACTCTTTTAATTGTTCAAAAAATCTTATAGAACTTTTATCAAATGTCTTTAGAAATCTACCTTCGCATAGTAGTTCGTAACAGACATTGAGAGCTTCAGGAACAAGCTGAAAATCATGCTTCAACCGAGACGCGAAGAAGGAACCATAACATAGCGTAACAGACTTGAGTTATACTCACTCAACGAAGCTCAATCCATTGAACTTTTCAGATTTTCTATGCCAGAGATTAAAAGTATTACCATGGTACTTGGCCTGGAATCAACCTGTCATATTTCAAAAATAAGAGTCAGCAACATCTTTGGCTTTGCCATGTTGATGTATCAATACAGTTCTCCCAAACGCCTTTTTGGCATGTCTCTTATTTTTGGAATGGACCCAACGAGTATATCAGCTGTTTTGAGAGGAATAGAAGACATGATATACGAGAAAATAAGATGGGGAATTCAGTTCAATACGCATCTTTTTCTTGGTGGTTTTTTGGATGTTTGTATCTCCCTTTGGTGGAATATTTTGAATAAAAAAGAGCTTAGAATATAGAGATTTAGCATTACTGCATATCCTCTGTCTTCTTTATAATAATAATAATAATAACGGATCCTTTTGACAGATAATCATGTATCTGAAAATGTAATTATTTTCAGTTAATTTCAGCCGAAGATTGACTTTAAGCCCTACCCCAAAAGGAAGTGCTTCAGATTCATGTTGCACAAAATACTTGATATAGGCATACTTGAAACCCCGTGTTCGAAGATGAAAATTTGTAGCTGAAGATCAATCTTCGGACTAAGGACCAAGTTATCTTTTATCAATACTAGCCTTGATAGCTATTCAATGTGTTTCTTTTAGAGACCCTTAAAAACCTTCCAGCCTTGTTACGGTTCAGCTATACCCAGGATATCGCTGATAAGCCATTAGATTTGAATAATTTTAGTGTCTTTAATTCTAGCACTGGGTTGAAGAGGTTGGAAAAAAGGTGTTTTGCATTGACTGCAAAAACATGGTAGCGTTGAAAGTGGGATATATATAAAAAAGAGAGAGAAATTAGTCCTTAATTAAAATTCCACTATAGAACACACTTAAAACCTTGGAAAACTTGCAAATATCTCAGTAAAATCGCCCCCCTTTTTTTTCTATAGTGTATATATATATATATAAAGTTTGGTTTTCTCATTTTCAAATGCGAAACTCTATATTGCAACTTGGGCTTGACTTTTCTGACAAACTGAAGAATGGATATACATAAAACTCTAAACCCAACAAATGAATGAATGAATATTATGTTTATTTGTGTTTAATGTGCTCAGCAATTATTGTAACAGATTTAGCAATTTCAGCGAATGAGGCAAGAATATTGTTCTGAAAATCATCTCTCTTCCTCAGAAACCTAGCTTGTTCCCCCAAAAGAAGGATAACTTTTTTTGTTAATTTGTTGGTCAAGTCATCCTCACTATCCTCATTATCTTCATTATTTTTGTTATCCTCATTGTCTTCATTATCCTCATTATCCTCATCTGCAGCCTCATCTCCATTTATATCCTCAATGTCATTGTCATTGCCATTATCCTCTTCCTCACTCTCACTCTCATTTTCATTTTCATTCTCATTTTCATGATCAGCTTTTTCTTCTTCTTCTTCGTCTTCTTCTTCCTTTTCGAAATCCTCGTCATCCTCATCCTCATAATCATCTTCGGCATTGTTCTTATTGTATTTATTCGACCGATTATTCAAATTAAGCCGGGTCTCCAACTCTTTTACATCCATATAATCCTCCTTGAAGTAAAACAAACCATCCAAATTAGTTACATTTCTTTTCATTTTATCTACTGCAACTATTAAGAGATTCTTTTTAAAGAAATATATAAATAAATAATAATACGAACTGCTTTCATTGCTGCTAGAATAGCTTTCATCAATTTTTTCGACAGGTTAATTTTGGCTCCATTTACGTAAGTGCCTTTGGACTGCCCAGCCGCTTGAAGAAGGCCATGAAACAGATCATATTTCTTGTGTTTGACACCGTGTAAGGAGAGAGCCGGCAAGGTTGTAATCTGTACAGCGTTTACATGTTCCAGCACTTTTTCCCATGCCTTGTTCTTTTGTTGTCGGTGTACCGTAGAAGGACAGAATTTTGCTAGGGCGTCTAAGAATGCCAGTTCTCTCTCGATACTCCACTCTCCTCGAGCTAGAGCTTAATTGTTATTAATATTCTGAGAGTATATCTCCAAGTATAAGAAATGAAAAGAAATAGAAAAGGCAAACAAACAAGGAACTTTATCCTATTCCTTCTACTCTTCTTCTTCTTATTGTTCATCAAATATCTCTCCATATTTCGATCAATAGGTGATTCTTTATTCTTTATATATTTTATATTATATTTTATATATATTCTGGTTTACAATATATGTATATCTTGTGAATTTGGCTATTACCTTTCTTCCTGGGTTTACTTTCTTTGCTTGACTGAGGTTTTGGGCGCTTCATTTTTTAATACTGTTGCTTTTGTTGTCTGTGATTAGGAATAATATTAATGTAAATATGAGTATGAATGTAAAGAAACAATATTGCAATGAATACTCAATCTTATTTTTTTTATAGATTTTTTTATATTTATTTATTTATTTACAGAATATATTATAATTATATTAACTTTATGCATTAGAGAAAAAATATGGTTTGAGTAAGCTTTTGCGGGCAATGTCTGGAAATTGCTTACAATTTTTCTTTATCGAATATATACATACATACACACAAATAATAAAATAACTTAACCAAACCATAGTAGAGAAACATGTGTGTGTGTGTTTTCTTGACATATCCATAATACTATGGTCGAAAAGAAGGGTATAGTGACCAAATATAAGTAACTCAAAAGACTTGTTATTCTTCTTCTGCTGCTGCTGTTGCTGTTTTGGTACCTTGAAACTCCATTGATATTTCATCACTCCTGTAAGATACAGATTAGTGTAGGAGGTATTATCAGGCAAAATAAAGCATATATTTATATAAAAGAAAAGTTCTGGTTGGTTTATTTTCCAATAGATATGAACTTGAAGATCATTCCAACCATTTCTTCTTGTGGTGTAATTGAAGTTAAGTAATATCAATGTATTTATTTTTATATTTTAAATAACATTAAAATATGGTTTATTACATAATAATTAAAGAAGAAAAGAAAGAAAGAAGGGAAGTAAGGAAGGAAGTAAGAAAAACACTAGATCAAATATATATATATATATATATATATATATATTGACGCAGGGAATTAATATAAAGTCATAAAGAAGGAAATAAAATATATATTTTATCTTCTTCTAAATCACATCAACAAGGTCAGGATATATACTTGGGTAAAAGAACTTTATGGTTCCTTGGGTTATACGGATATTGATGTCTTGAATAGATAGCTTTCATAATATTACCATTACCATTACTATTACTATTGTTACAAAACAAAATTACACTCAAGAGCAACTGTTGAGTCAAAAGGTACATATAAAAGTCATAATAAAACAAAAAAAGATAAAAAATATTTAAGCATGAATATTTATTAAAGGTAAAAACAAAAAAGATCGTTGATAACCCATATTTGAGAACTTTATACAGCCAAAGCTAGCTTGAAAGGTAGATCCCTCTTTTTACCCCATATCGGGTAGAAATTCACTGTAGCCATGGCACAAACACTTTTACTTTTACTTAATTACATCACAACTACAATAATTATTTAAAAATGTTTCAAAATCCCTATCTGTCTCTCGATCTATTTCTCTATCTCTATAGTTTTGTCTACAGTCCAATAACAGCAATGTCGACACACGAATATCTATACACATAATTAGCTATAAGCAAATCCACAAATCAGCCTTTCAATTCCAAGAATACACAACCTAAGCAAGAAAGAAAAATCACATATCCTGACCAGCCCATCGAGAAGCTTGCTATCAATATTCATAAGTTAGTTGTGTCAGTAACGCAAGAAAGGTATTTTAATTGACTATCCAAATATTCTCAAAGAATATCTAAAAAATAAAAAAATAAAAAAGTATTTATTGAAACCCCACCTTTCAACAAAACAAGAGCAGAAGGAGAAGGAAAAGAACTTTCAGAATACAGACCAGAATTAAGAATGTGCCTATTTGTCTCTATTTTTATTTGAGATATCTTTTAGCTCAGAATCTAAGATTAAAAACCATCAGAAATCCCAAAAATCCATTCAATGTATGGCTATATAAGAAAAAAATGGTATACAGGGGTATTTATTCCATCATATTTATCGACTCTGATATGAATTCTAATATGCAATATAGAATAATTGGTTTAGATAGAGTGCAAAGATACCATCACGAAACAAATCAGAATCCAACCCCCCCCCCCCCCCCCTTTCTTTTTTAAGTATTATCACGAAGCCCAAAAAAAGAAGTGTTGGAATATGAAAATCAATTTTTAACGGCCTGTTGTGAAGGTCGTATAAAAAAGGATAAGTCACCCAACGTGGTAATAAGATATATTGTCAATGTACGCACACCTCTCGTCAGTTTTTTTTTCTTATCATTCAGACAACATCGTTAAGTACTGCATTGTGAATCCTTAGCCATCACACTAAACTATGTTTCTTAATTTGTCATCTACTCAATTGACATGAGTATCAGTCCCATCGTAACAATTGTTGTTACCATCTTTTAGTCGAAGATAGTTTGAGAGCTGTAATACTCAAACCTACTACTGAATTACTTGAAAGAGAAAACAAGATGTTCAATTACTGTTTGCCTTACAAACTATAATATTCTTTAATGCTAATCTCAGATGCTTGTCAGATGTACATGGTTTCTTTTGTACAATCTCCACAACATGTCTCTGTGCTCCGGGCACCCTCAGACTTTTTTAGGGGATTTTTTACTTTCGCAATAATGATAGTAATCATAATGATAAAAAAAAACGAGCAATATAATATAACAACATTTCCAGCATTCGCTTTTATTTCGACTTTTATCCCGCATTTAGACCTTTAGCTAAAAGCCATGCTCCCAGCAGCTCATTTTATTTTATCTAATTAGAAAAACAGGATGAAGTTAGAGATCATGTCATACAGCTTATAACTTTCGTCACGTATTCTTTAACTTACTTGTTTCTCAATAAAAAAAGTATAAGGCCTATACTACTTGGTAATTGTGTGCCGTACACAATTGACAGTAGAGAAAAGTTATATAAAACTTCATAGGCCAATGACCCCTTCCCCCGAGGGGAGGGGGGAGCAAAGCTCCTAATATATATAATAACACATTTTGGTTAAAAAATATAAGAGTTGATTTTTTTTGGCTATGCTTATAACTAATTCTAACACTAGCTATGACTCTGGTCCGGATTTTGCTAGTAAAGTTAGTTGTTAGTAATGTTAGTTGTTCATAATGTTAGTTGTTCAAAAAGTTAATTGTTTGTAGTTAGTTGTGAGTAAGGTTAGTTCCCGTTGCTTGTTAGTATCTGTTGCTTGTTAGTATGTTAGTATGTTGCTTCTGTTGCTTCCTGTTGCCAACTCTTCTTCTTATTCTTCGGCATCTTCATAATCACCGTCATCTTCACCATATTCTTCTTCATCTTGATCTTCTTCATAATCATCATCGTAATCATTTTCTTCTTCTTCATCGTCTTCTTCATAATCACCATTATCGTAATCACTTTCTTCTTCTTCTTTCTCTTCTTCTTCTTCTTCTTTTTCTTTTTCTTCTTCTTCTTCTTTTTCTTCTTCTTCTTCTTCTTCTTTTTCTTCTTCTTCTTCTTCTTCTTCTTTTTCTTCTTCTTCTTTCTCTTCTTCTCCTTTCTCTTCTTCTTCTTCTTTCTCTTCTTCTTTCTCTTCTTCTTCTTCTTTCTCTTCTTCTTCTTCTTTCTCTTCTTCTTCTTCTTTCTCTTCTTCTTCTTCTTTCTCTTCTTCTTCTTCTTTCTCTTCTTCTTCTTCTTTCTCTTCTTCTTCTTCTTTCTCTTCTTCTTCTTTCTCTTCTTCTTCTTCTTTCCCTTCTTCATCATCTTCTTCTTCTTTCTCTTCTTCATTATCTTCTTCTTCTTCTTCATTATCTTCTTCTTCATCATCATCTTTTTCTTCTTCATCATCATCTTCATCATCATCTTCATCATCATCTCCTCCTCCTCCTTCTCTTCTTCTTTCTGCGTCTCTTCTTTCTTCTTCTCTTCTTCTATCTTCATGTCTTCTTTCTTCTTCTCCTCTTCTTCCTGGTTCTCTTCTTAGTAATTCTTCTAGATCACTTCTTATTTCTGCTGTTCTTCTTCTTTCTGCTTCTCTTGGGTCCATATCCCTTCTTCTTCGTACTGCTTCTTCTATTCTCGTTTCCTTTGGGTTGATATAACGAGCTGTAGCTTTGTGCTCCAGCTCATTTTCGGACCATATCTTCTGTTTTTTTATGATATGGCCCTGGGACTCGGAAGCAACGCTTCCGAGCCCCCCCTCTTTCTCCAATCGTCGCTTAAGCCCCTTGGGCAGGTCTGGCGCTATAGGTATATTATTGATTAATATTATATTGTTTATCTACTATTATATAGAGACATTACTTACCAATCATTCTCACTTGTTTGATCTTTCGACCAAAAACTTTGACTAGATTAGTTTTGGCTAATCTAACTAGAATTGTATGTCTCAACAGCTTTGGGACATGCTTGTGAATGGCCTTTGGGCCAAACACAAGTGAGCCGTTGGACGACACTTTTTTTCGGGTGCTGATGCTGCTGATGCTGCTGTTGCTGCTGGTGTTGCTGTACATTGGAGTAAACTAATGAAAAAGCGCAAAGAAGAAAAATAATACCGTGAGAGTGTTTCTTTTTTTAAAAACGCGTTATAATCTTTGGGCCACACATTTTGAGACGCGTTCTTTTTTTAAGGCGCAAGTTATGGCCTTTGGGCAACACACTTTGGAACGCCATCCTTTTTTTTATTTTGACATGAGCCAATCATTTGCAATTTTGAATACACGTGTCTGCAACAGAGTACTTGAGTGCGGGCAAAGTGACTAGTAAGAGACTTTATTATTAGGAAAAGCTTTCAAGCTGTATAGTGTCTAGAGTCGAGTTGCTGGCCTCTTTACTGCCAACTACTATTTACTTTTTTTATTTTTCTCTCTCCTTCTACAAGTTTCAATCTCCTAATGTCGCTGTTTTTCTCTTCCAAATGGCGATTGTCACCAAATACACCCGCCGTCTCAAGTTCCCAAGATCAAGATAAAGGGAAAAAAATTGTGATTATTTGAATACTCCCCTTGAAGAAATTCATTTAGGTTCAAAGTTAAAGTACATAGACAAATCCCATTTGTACAAATTCTTATTCCAATTAGACAAACTGGTTAAGGATTTTAAATCTTGGTATATAAAGGGTGTATAGCTAAGATTCATTAAGTCTCTAATAATAATAATAATAAGGAGATATATCATTTCTTAAAAGCACCATTGATACTTTTTTTTCTTTCTTTTTTGTCGGTATTATTTATTTATTTATTGGACCGCCGCGCCTTACTAGACGGCTATTTAAAATACATTATGCAGTTTGTGGTATACATGCCCTGAGGTATTCGGGATTGTTTATGGAAAAGTATCTCAATATTAGAAAAAGTAGATACTGTAAGAGTGTGTTGATTATTAAAGAGAGTCAAAAAATAGGTTTTATATATATTACAATTTGAATCACTGCTGTTTAATGGCCGGTTGGCTGGCTTACACTGTATAAGTGTGTAGTGTATGTATGCCTGATATATAGCAGCTCTGGTGATTGTCAATTTGCCAGGATCATTGGCAAGAAAGAAACCAGTGATTGGTAGTTGATTTGTTCCAGACACTGCACAGTAAAGATACACATAGTAAGTGAGGAGAATTGAAGAGTAAGAAAAAAAAGTCTTTATTAATTGATATTTGCATTGTATTTATACTATTTGTTAATTGATACTTGGTATATAAATGTTGAATAATAATACTACTGGAAAGTATTTCTATTGTTCAATATAGGGGATCATAATAATGGTGTGAGAATATGATATGTTTGTGGTATTGATAATAATAATGGATAAATAGCTATGTTAATATTGTGATTGTTAGAGTGTTTATTCCTAAGATTGTGGAGTCTGTACCTCACTCAACTGTGGTGCGTATACAGCTAATAGAATAACCACTCATATCAACCATGATTTTTACTGAGTTTGGAGTTCGGACCCGGGAGAGAGCAACATACAACTGCCCATGACCAAAGACATGGTCGGGAAGGTACAGACCAACTTTGTCAAGGGTCTGGCCTTGGGACTTGTTGATAGTCATGGCAAAGGCAAGACGGGCTGGAAATTGACATCGCTTGAACTCAATGGACATGGTCGATCCAGTTGGGTTCAGCTTGATCCTGGGGATGAGCACCACCTTTCCAGCACTTGATCCAGTTACAATGGTAGCCTTGATGACATATCTGCTAAAGTCATTGCATATAAGGCGGGTACCATTGCAGAGGCCATTCTTGGGGTCCAGGTTTCTCAGTAGCATAATAGGACATCCTTTCTTGAGGCATAGAGTATGTGGAGGCAAAGATCCAGAATTGAGAGTGTTGAGCAGTTCAATTGGGTAGCTCAATTGATCATCTTCGCTTAGACCTTCGTCGATACTCTTGAACACAGTTTCTTGCCCAGGGAACAGTTCAATAAGGATGTCATTGATCTTCTTAACTTCTGCATTCTTTGAGGTCAAGATTACACGGCCCATAAGGAAGCTGGGACTGGTGGCATTGTTAAGAAGATCAGGAAAGATTGCACTGGCCAGGTGATTGAGATTACGGCCATGAAGGAGCATGTGTGGCGGAATGAGAAAGACGCCTTCACCACCAGTCGTCCGAAGACTGCCATTGCCAACAGTCAAGAGAAGGGCATCAAACGCATTAAGGTGTGTCATTTCCTGGGGATTAGTGGACTCGGCATTGCGCATGTTCTTGGTAAGTTTCATGCGGTGAACACAGCTCCAGAGATGTGTTTTCTTGACGCACTGGGAAACAATCTGGGATTTGTTTCCTTGTGGAATGACTGGAAGCACCTGGCGAAAGTCACCACCAAAAACGAACAGCTTGCCACCAAAAGGAACAGTCTCGAGCTGGGGGGTTAACAAACTTCATGACATCTTGAATGGAACGGTTGACAGCATTAATAAGATCCTTGCTGACCATTGAGACCTAGTCCCAGACGACCAATATCTGTATTTATTTTCCTGATAAACTTTTGCCACTTGAAAATTGGCAGGAATGGAAGACGTAGAGTTGATACCGACAAAACAATGGGAGGGACAGAATCTTGAACTTGGAATGCTCTGTTCGTCAGCCTTCTAAAATAAGAGAGTTATAGAGTAAAGAAAAATTGGGGTTGTGATAAAAGTAATGATATGAATAGGAATAGAGAAGTAACAAGAAGAAGAGTAAACTAAATACTTGTTAATGAGTCACCGTTTATTTCTTTCTCTAAATAAGTAAAAAAAAACGAATGATTTATGCTTTTTTTCTCATTTGTGGGCTTTATCCTTGAGGTTTTATTTTATTCTATTTTCTAAAATAAAATGAAGAACAATTTGAAGAGTTAATTAGCTCATAGGATAAAGTAATTGCTTTTATTTAATTTTTTTATTTTGGATAATTAATATACTATATATAAAAAGGGGGGTTTCAATGATAGATACCGTACAAGTTGGTGAGCCTTGTCCTTTGTAACCTTCTTTTGATTTAAGATGTATACAAGGTAAAAGTAAAAGTAAAAGCCGTAAAGATATTGAACATGGTGTTTTGACAGTGTGAATATGAAATGGATAGAAAAATAGAGCTAAAATAAATAACTAGCGATTATTCAATATAAATTGAAATTTATTTTAATTCACTATTTCATGGCTTTAATTATTATTACTAATTTTTTATATATAAAATATAAAATAAAATTATGATGTTGAACAAACCAAAGAAAAAAGGTATCGAGTTTTTGTTTTGTTTTATTTGGATGGTTACATTTGATAGTGTTTTAGTTAATCAAGCTTTCAGGCTTTGCTTGTGTACAAAACTTTAAATATTTGTACTCTTTCTTTTTTTTTATATATATATTTTTTACTAATAAATAAAGAAAGGGTCTATCATTTCTCATCTAAGGTTCAGTCATTCGCCTTTTCTGCACATAGAATAAAAGCAAGGGGAAAGAGTGAGAGTAAGAGAGAGAGAGAGATGGGGGGTATGTAAATCTTATGCCTTGGATCTTTATAAATTTGACTTCTTTATTGTGACTTATAGTTTGCCAAGTAATGCCCAAAAGATAATCAAGGCGCCTTTCTTTGAGTGCAGAAGGTCTCCTTCTGAACATGCAGACAGCTGAATACCTATTATGATAATTATTTAAGGTTATGTGAGGCAAATAATAATATAAATATAATTTTTTTTGGTACTTTACATGTGGGACATCCGTGTTCACAGGAACATTGTTGAATTCTATCGGCTGAAGTTTTTAGTAGAGACTCAAATATTTGATATACCTTTTGTACAACTCCATTCAATTGAAGTTCGTACACCAGGATTCTTTATAGTTTGACAAGAAAAAATAGAAGAACAAGAAGATAGTTAATAGTATCAAAGCACAAAATGCATATACATGTACTTCTTGCATAATATATATATATAAAAAGAAAAACTATAATTTATGATTCTATTATTACCTTGTAGGTAAGTCTTTGTGGGGACTTTTGCATTTAATTTTGAGGGTTCCGTTGGAAGATATTCCAAATCTCGGTAACACATTGATTAACGCATGTTCTGAAATACAGACATAGATAGATAATTACATACAAATAGGTTAATATTTAATAATAAAAATAAGAACAAGTTATTATATATATATATATAAATTTGTGGTGTGTTGCGATAAAGTATAGATGGCATGACAATAATAGTCATAATAATCATAAAAAATCAAGCAAGTAGCAATCAAGTAGCAGCAAAAAGAATCATCATATAGATTTATATGTTCATGCACGTTTGACTTGATTATCATTTTCTTTTTTTTTTGCTCACCTGCACTATGGATAGCTGCCATTGGATTGATTTCCAGGGTTTCTAATCTCTGCAATGCAAGATAGGGAACGTCTGTCCATACACCCGTTGCATTTTGAACGACAGGATCCATATAAACATCGAGAGAGTCTATAATTCTATTGTACTTGTCGACCTTGTGATAACCAAACACCACAGTCTCCACTATACACATACACATGTATAGATCAATAAGTCGAGAGTAATAGAAAGAGTGGTATAGGTGTGTGGGAGGATTGTTAGTATTGGTATTAGTTTTGCATAATAATTTTGATTCTATTTTCTTCTTCTTCTTCTTGTACACATGTGTGCGTGCTTACCTTGTACGCTTCCGAGAGACACGGTGTGTTGTGTGCAATGCATTGACTTTGTGTTTGTGACACGAACTGTATTGACATTGGTGGAATCACGTGGACTGGTGGTCCAATCTACTCGAACTAGATGAACAGTTGCACAGCGTTGGATGATGTTGCATTCATCGACAAGATATGTCTGGCCCTGATGAATAAAAATAGCGCCTAGAAGTGGTATTTATAAGTTATGTTATCAGGAGTTAGATTTAGGGTGCATGTATAGACAGGTGCGTTAAGCAAGAGTTGTTATTATTATTATTGGATGATTGACTGGTCAAGTTGTTAGATTTGTTGGCTTTTTGTTACCTTTGTGGATCTCAAAAGGTGCCCGACTCGTTTCGATTTCTTCAAGGATTTTGTATTCATTCTTATCAGTGATATCGACAACCACGAATATTTCTTCAGTGATGTTTCGAATGGGTACAAATTCAGCCGGATATGGTCTGAATTTATGATGAGGTCTATAGAGCTTTTAAAAAAAAATTATATATTTATATATATATATATATTTATGTATGTATAGTATATTAACCCCGTTGTCAATTGGAACTAGATGCTCCTCACAGATAGTCTTGATATTTGGACCAAAGAACATCGTGTCTTTTGTGATATCGAGTGGCCATTCTTCTGCCGCACACTGCAGGTGGCGTTCTAGCAGTGCTGAATCTTCCTTCTCCCCGATGTGTAAATGAAGTGGTGCCGGTTTCTGATCAAATAGAGCAGATGGGTGTTTCTGATGGTCGTACAACAACAAAATATATTACTACCATTATCATTATCATTGTATGTATGTATTGGCTTCTTTGGCTTTGTGTTAATGTATGTGAAAATAAATAAATAAACAAGTAATTATTTGAAACACTAATAAAGAAAATAAAAATAAAAATCATGTGTTTCAAAAATTAAATTTTTTCTTAAAAATAATTAAAAAAAAAAAAAAAAAAGTGGGATGCTTACGGCATAATACTGGTCCATCGGGTCATTGTTTGTTATCACTATCGAGAGGGAGTCTGTGTGGCGTCTTCCTGCCCTTCCTGATTGTTGCCACTATATATATATATATATAAAATGAACAAATAAATAGCAATAGAGAAATAGTGAGTATATGGGTGAGTGAGTAAAGAATCTTTTTTTTTTGGGTTTCATAGTGTACAATTTACAATTTACATATTATATATTATATATAAAATTTCTGCTTCTTTGCTTTTGCTTTTTCTGTTTTCTTTTATCTGCTCTTACCAATGATGATATTGACCATGGAACGCCTATCATAACCACAGCATCTTGTATGTATTTGAAGAATCAAGACAAGGCAAAAGTGGTGTCAAATAAAAAGTATAGTTTTGGTTAGCATAATAAACAGGTGTATATGATACATTATTGAAAAGGGGGTAAAGAAAATGATTGATTTGGCTGTCTGGAAGCCTATTTTTTTTTCTTTCTTCTTTTTCCTATTATATCCCATCCCACTCCATTCCATTCCATTCCATTTCATTCCAGTCTAGATTAACTTTCTTTCTTTTTTGGTTTGACTATCCCAAATCTGCCCTAAATCTATCCTGACCCTAGCCAAAACTTTGTTCAACTTGGTTTAGCACAGTTCAGCCCTAGCAATAGTCATAGACATGGCTTTTGTCTGTCTATCTGTCTATCTATCTATCTAGCTAGCTCCAGGTCTAACTTCTACTGGCTTCTATAGCATACTCTATTTAATTTAATTTAATTTTTAATGTCTAGTATAAAGAAGGAAAAGATTTATATACCAAGAGATCCAATATCGATGCCTAATTCAAGTGCATTGGTTGCAATGACGCCCAAGAGCTGTCCGTTAAATAATTGATGTTCGATGCGCCTTCTTTCTTGGGGCGTGTATCCCCCTCGATAAGACATGAGTTTCTTGAGCCTATCTGGTTCTTGAGAAAGTTTCTCCCTCATTTGTCTCATTAACAATTCGCACGTTTTTCTCGTCTAATACAATGCAATACAATACAATACAATACAGTACAATAAATTGTATATTGCATTATTATAAACACAGACACACACAAATAAGCAAACAAAGGACACAGAATTATTAGCTTTAGTAGCAAGTAGCCCATAAAAACCAATAAGATCAAGTCTAGTCTAGTCTAGTCTAATCTAATCAAGTCAAGTCAAGTTTTATGAAAATGAAACTTGTATTTTAAATAGAAAATCTATATGTTTACCTTGCAAAAGGCAATGGTTCTCACATTACGAGACAACAGGTATTCCAAGATATCTGCACATTCCAGTATCACACTCCTTCTTACACCATCTTTATCCTCAGGGTTTAACAGTGGAGGATTCCAGAGAATGAACTCCTTGAAATATATATAATTTTGTGCATTACAAATCAGAAATGTTATGTATGCATATTACAGCAATGCACTGTATACAATATATACTATAAAGAAAAGAAATAAAGAACATGCTAAACAGACAGACAGATAGACAGAAAGACAGAAAGGGAAATGAGGATTACGATAATGACGATAATTATGATGATGATGATTATGATGATTATAATACTTATACTAATGAGTAGGAGGAGTAGGAGGAGTAAGAGGATGAGTAAGAGTAGGAGTCAGGAGTATAGGGCTCTGAATTTCTCTCCATCTTGTCTTGTCTGTCTTGTCTTGCCTATCTGCTTCTGGCAATATATATATATATATATATATAACCTTGACCTCTAACCTACCTTTTTCCCACATGGTGCGCCGTCTTGATCTACCGTCTTGACATTATCAACGCCTAATACTTGCTGCATATGCTATAAGTTGAATATATATATATACACATAATTGTACAATTTAGTTGGTTGATTATTTAGTATGCATATATGTATGTATATGTATGTACAACTTGGTGAGACGTTTGTATTCTTCTTTAGACTTTAATACTTTTATTGTACTATACTTTACTGTACTGTACTGTACTGTACTGTATTGAATATACTATAATATAAATTCCCTCTCTCTCTCTCTCTCTATATATATATCTTTTTGTGTTTGTGTGTCTTTTGTGTGTCTTTGTAACCAAGCGAAATAAGAAATAAGAAATATACTGCGTTTGGTTAGCTCACTACACAGACTACCTTTTCTGGATCTTGGAGAGTCGCACTGCAGGACACACAAAGAGCGGAAGTGTTACCGAAATAATGGCACACTCGGCGCAATCTTCTTAGAATCAGAGCCACATTTGATCCAAACGACCCATTATAGATATGCAATTCTTGTATATATATAAAAAAATAGTATTAATAGACTATTCATTTGGTTTTCACTGTTAAGCTATTACCGTCTATAACAATAAAACAAAGTTGAGTGAGAAAAGGCCTCCAGTGAGACGAGTTGGGTAAGATGGCATAGTGGAGCACATCAGGATTGGTGAAGATTACACTAGCATTCTTTCGAATCAGCGCACGCTCTTGAGTAGGTGTGTCACCATCCAAAGTAACCGCCTACAATATAAATATAAATATACACACACAGAGAGAGAGAAAAGTATAATATTAAAGTATGAGCTTGTGGTTCCTTTTTAACCAGCCAATCAATCAAACTAATCATGTGTACCCTATATATAATAATAATAATAATTCTTTGCTTACTTTTATGTTTGAAAGGCTTGGACATTTCAATAACCAGGATTTAAATGAGGCTAGCTGGTCTTGTGCAAGTGCCTTTGTAGGAAATATCAGTAGAGCTGTGGAGAGGGGGTTGTCAAGCAAGGCTTCCAATATATAGAGCTGGTATACAAGTGATTTCCCACTACAAAACACATACAGGTTATTAAGCCCATTAAATATTAAATGCAATTGTTAACCAGCATAGAAAAAAAAAGAGCGGTCATATTTCTTTTTTGTTGTTGTTGGTTCGTACTACATTTATTTGATTGGTACCACTACGACTACCACTATTTATTACTACTTTATACTATATATATATATATACTATATATTTATTATATACAACAAAATCAAAACAAAAAGAATGATGTGGTTTCTTTCCTTGCTATAATCCAACTGACCGTCTTACCTGGCTGTAGATGTGGTAGTAATGACATGTTGCCTGTTTCTTAGGCCAGAAATTGCTTCTGCCTGATGTGTATAGAGCTTATGGATTCCACTTTCAGACATTGCTTCCTGAATCTCCTGGGAAAACAGCGCCTCACCTATATATTTTTTTTGGAACGTTAGCATAGCAACAACAACAACAATAATAATAATAATAATAATATCAAGGTTTATGTTTTTAACGTTCAAAAAAAAAGCCTTTTAAGTACACACAACCGAGTAAGCTTTTTTTTTTCTAAGTTGTTAGAAGTAATACAAAATAAAATAAAAAGTAAATACTTGCCGTAATGAGCTTCTTGTGCGGGAAATGTCTTGGTGGGGAACTTGTCCAACCTATCTTTTTCTCCACAGAATTTCTGAAGATGTAAATCTCCAATGACCTTTTCCATCGTCAGTGGTACGTCTTCCCTTGACTGGTCAGGAATTTGTGTTATTATTGGCGGGTTATTTACAGAAGGGAGACTGGCGGTGATCTTTTGATGGAGACATGTGTCCACATCGATCGCCTTTATTACAAAAAATATATATGGTTGTTTTTTTTAATATCATTATTATCATTAGTATTGTTAAGTTAAAGAAAGACAATTTATATATCTAATTAATTAATTAACCAACTGACTAAAGAACTAAAGAACTGACCATTTCTTTGCAATCATCAATAAACTTGTCTAGAGCACGTCGAAATAGATCATTGCGGGTCTCGACAGCCTTCTTTATTGCAGTGGGGGTGACGGATCTGATGTTCTTCATTTGGTGAGAATACCGTCCATTTTTTTTTCCTTTTATTCCTACTGCTGCACTTTTATTTGTTGTTGTTGTTGTTGTTGGCACGAGGGGAGAACTTGTTCCGAATTGGATAGTTACATAATTCTCTTTATTAGAAGAAAAAGTAGTAGTAGTAGTAGTGGTAGTGGTAGTGTTGACTGCATTGGTATCAAGTGTGGTTTGGTCATCACATTGATTCATTACAATCCAATCAGGAACAATGACATTGATTGCAATCAGATCTTGAATGGTTAGAATGTCGCCAGCAATAGATTGCTGTAGCATCCCAAAGCTGATTGCAGATTCTAGACGTGCTTCACAAAAGGCGCATAATGTATTGATCTTTCTGAATAGACTCCAGAGACGATCCAGGGCAGGTGTCAAGGTGTGAACACAAGTGTAAGATTTGGTCTTGGTCTTGGTCTTGGTCTTAGTGTTTGAGTGAAAAGGTAGTGAATTGTCGTTGGACGTGATTTCGGCACTATTGGCCTGATCACCACCATCATTATTAGCATCATTCAAGGTTCTTTTTCGTTTTGGCATCAAAGTTTTTGATTGATTTTTGTGTTTAGTGGATAAAATAAAATAGCAATACACAAGCACAAGAACAGGCACAGGCACAGGCACAGGCACAGGAACATATGTATAGAATATTTTACTATCTCTCTTTCTCTCTGTTGTTCTCTCGTTCTTAGGTTGTCAATTAAATGACGTGACACTTTTTATTTATTTTTCTTAGAGAAATTATTATCAATATTTTAATTTGTCTATTGTATCTATTGTATCCATGTAAATATTTAATTAAGATAAAAAAGAAAAAACAAATAATTTATTGCCAAGTGTAGATTTGATAGTTACCATAGATACACATACTACACATAACATATATTATGAATTGATTGATTGATTCCTAATATAATATAATATAATATAATTGAAAATGAATTCTGACAGTGGAATATTATGGAACTCATTTAGAATAAAAAAGAATAAAGAATATTTTTCTTTATGTTACTAGTAGCAAATCAAAAAAATAATAAAACAAAGATGAAATAAAATGAAAAATAAAAAATAAAATAAAAATTAAATAATAATAACCATGACGTGATGTCGATAGGGGAAAATAAAATAAATATATATATTATATCCATGTGGTCCAGGCGTGAATAGTTACACAGACCACATGACCGCCGAATAGTTCATCACCCAATCTTAGATTGCCATTTTTGGTAGAATGTAGACAACAACGTGAGCCAACAAATAAAAAAAAAAAAAGAAGAGTATTGTAATTAATAAAAATGCGCGTGTATAAATTTATACATACGCAAATACACCCTAAGAGAGAGAAACAGAGTGGGACTATATATTATATATCGATATTTTTAGGAATTAATGTTACACAGTCATCAAATCACCAATGATAGGCTTGATCATCTGACTAAAAGTAGCCAAAACACGCGCTACAACTGTGACTCCAATGCAAAAGAAACATATACTTTATAATAGATTTGTATACAGAGGATAGTACTATAAAATATATGTATATATGAAATTTTCTTGCAAGTATAAATTAAGGACCCTTTTACTTGAATGTCTTTCTTTCTTTCCTTCATTATCATCACTACTCTTACTACATTAACAAACCAAAAAAAATCTTTTCTGTATTTCAAATACACTATAATCATATCATATTTATAATTTTTTTTTTTAAAAAAAAATAACTCAGTCACATACAAATAAAAGTAAAAAGAAGAACAAAATGACCAAGAACTATATGGATGACTTTGAACCCACTCTGTACACCTACCCCACCTACCACTATTCCATCCACGATGGCGATGATGTCATTCTCGAGTCTGCAGAAGACTGTCTCTCTGCCAGCTGTGTCGCCGAATGGCTTGGTCGTTTCCCTAGTGCAACTGCCACACTCACATTGGACGGAGACACCATAGACATTCCAGTCTATGCCCTTCGCCGCAGAAATGCTGTCGTTGCTGCCCTACCAGACGCCCCTATCATGGCATAAAAGAAATAATCCCATAACTACATAACTTCCTTGGTCTCTTTGGTCTATCTCTCTAGCTGGCCTATCTTCCTTGGTAACCTTGCTTGGATTCTCCAAAAAAAAATGCTCATCCATTTTCATCTGTACATTTCCCTATATTTTCTTTCTCTCTTTCACTTTACATCTAGAATGTTACATAGCAAACAAATTACATAGATCTTCATTCTCTCTCTCTCTCTCTCTAGCCTTCTTTTTTTGTTTTCTTGTTTTCTTTATCTCTTTATCTCTGCACAAAACTCATTATCTCAATCGATCAATCAAATCATTTGTTCATTCATTCGTTCATTCAAATCAAATATATATATATATTTTACACATACAATTTCAAATATTTTATTATTTATTCATTTGTTTAACAGCAATAATAAAAATAAAAAGCCAATTCGATTCAATTCAATTCAATTCGATTCTTTATTCCAATTAATCAGTGTTCAAATCATTCAGTAAATCAATCAATAACGAGTGTCTCCCCTTCTTCATCTCGGCGATATCCTCTCTCCTCCTTCTCCTATTAAAATATAGACAGATAGATATGTAGTGATATTGGTATTAGTATTGGTATTGGCAATGTCATCCAATTCGATTCGATTCATTATTAATTGTCAAACAAAGGACAAGATTATGCTTTGTACAGGCAGCATAGTTAATAGTATATAATTTATCCCACACTTGCCTTCTTTCGCTTCTTCTTCTTCTTGTGCTCGTGTGTGTGTCCATCTTCATCATGATCGTGGCTATGTTTCCGCTTCTTCTTCTAAAATAAAGAAAACCCGAGAAAAATATAGATGCACAGACGCACAACGACACAGACACAGACAATTAATCAATACATTTATTCATATCAATAAACCCTTTATTTCCTTCCTTCTTTCTTTTTTCTCTATTTCTCCCTTATCCCAACCTCCCACTTCTTCCTCTTATTTCTCTTACCTTCTTCTTGCGTTCTCGCTTGTTCATTTCATCGCCTAAAAAATATCATGCAAAGATATAGATAGATAGATAGATAGATATATAAATAAAGAAGTATATGTGTATGTATGTTCATGCATATGTTTATACATATCAATGTGAATCTCTCTTGGTTTATTTTCATTATTTCAGAGTACTCCTACACACAAAGACAGATATATAGTTGAAACATAATATTCTTTACCTGCAGATGCCCCGTACTCTCCCCTCTCTGTGTGAAGGTATTGACCAGGATTAACCCCCGAATAAGTAGAGGATCCGCCATCATCTGTACCAAGGATAGAAGCATCAAACTATTTCACACAAACACATGTATATACATGTACATGTACATATACATATACATACATGCATACACACACACACAAATAAGCCAAAAAAAAAGGATCAATAATTTCTCTTAAAGAAAGAAAGAACACACTGATTTTTTTGCTTCCTTAAAGAAGTAAAGGGTAATAATAGAACCCTTCCTCCCTACAAATTCTCTCTTTCTCTTTCTCTCTTTGTTTGTTTGTCTTGCTATATTTCTTATATGATTTGGCTTACACCAGGTACAGGTCCTTCTTTGAGTGAGAACGCGTCTTCTAATGTTTCTGGATCAAGTCTTTTGATTTTCGGTCCACTCTCAACTGCTTGTGGATCTCGCAGGAGATTGATCAGATAACCATCTGGTTCAACATCGTACTTTCCTACAAGGTCATTTGTTTTTTTTTGTTTAAAGAAAAAACGGAGAACAGAGAGAAGAAGAAGGAAAAGAAAAGAAAATAAAACCATTTCTCAGTCATCCATTCATCCATCCATTCGCAGATTTTCTTTTGATTTTTATTATCATTATCATCAACATTGATGTTGTTGTTGTTACTGTCTTTAATGTTGAAATTGTCGTCGATGTTGCTGACAATTGAATAAAATTATATAATAATAATAATAATAATTTTAATTATAATGGTAATTAGGATTGTTGTGTACCAGGTAAATCAGATATATAACGAAAGAGTGTCTGGTCTAATCCGGCTGCTCGATTAGGTGGTGAATAAGGTCTGACATATTTATCGTAAAGAGGAGTGAGATTGTAATAACTGAGGAGATCTTGGCTGCCTGTCAGCCGTGGTCTTTTGGTCATTGTAGCCATGTTTCTTTTCTTTCAAAAAGAAAAAAAAAGAAAAGAGAAAGAACAGACTACCAAAAAAAGAAAAAAGAAAGGTAATAAAACTAGTACAGTTAGGCTGGTAGGATATTGGCGGTTACAAAAAATAATAATTGTCGGTTAATAAAAAATACAATTGTCGAAAGATATTTGATTTGTCGGTTAGTGCCAAACAAATTGTCGTTCAAATACGAATATGCAAAAATAAAAAAGAGGTTTAGTCCATTGCACTTCACAAGACGGTGCTTCTAATTACATAGCACCTTTACACATTTCATTTAATAAAAGAGCAACTTTGAAGTTTGATCTAATCTTATTGTTTTTGTCTAAGAATATATTCGATAAACCAAGTACAGTTTCTATCAGTAAAACATGGTTATCAATCCAATTCAAGCAAAAAAGAGACCCAAGGGTAAGAAGGAAAGATAATGAATAAGATTGATAATGATATCCATGTAAAACAGAAAGCTAGGCACTATGTATAGGTACCAGTAGGAGAATGGTCTTAAAGATGGTAAATGGACAGGTATCCAGAAATAAAGGGACACTATCTTTTCATGGATAATACTCCTACTCCTGTCCATAGCTCAACTAACATAGGAAAATATATTCACTCTAGAGGATATCAATATGTATATACTCTTTCATATTCCTCTGAATTGAATCTAATCTAGCAGCTCTGTTAAGTTATTAAGAGCAAAGTTAAACGAAATATATTTTTGGAAAAAGAATTGTTGATAACTAAAACTAGTGGGGCATATGATAGCTTATATGTAAGTGATTTCAATGGCTTTGGTTCTAATTCTGTTAAGTGTTTTTGGAAATGCTTCAATAAAGAGAGGCTATGAGCATCGATGTGCCTTTTTAGAAATCAGCCCTACCAAGTAAGCTATAAAAAAAAAGAAAGTGATGCTTATTACTTATTACTTATCTTTCAAATCGCAAGCCACAAAAGCAATGTCGGTCCTTGGTGGCATCAATAAACGAGTAGATGCTAGGGTGGGTGGGACGCCGCTTAGTTTCCCAAGACTTTCCATCATTCATAGGTCGGCACAGCGTGCGAATGTTCTTCAAATTGACAAAGAAAACCAATTCTTCCAAGGAGCAGGGAAACGTGAGTTGACCAATCTCTTGCATGAGATACATTCCATCGTGTCGTAAGCTTGACAAAAAAAAAGTAATATTGAACCCATTGATTTGGAAGGTCAAAGCGGCTTGCAGCTTATTGTTATCAATGGTATCTTTGGCGAGCGTTGCCAAGCGCAGAAGGTCGTGGCATAGTGAATGATTGTCGGTGGTGGGACGTGCTAGCTTTACTTCGCCAAATCCTAAGCTTGGTCCAAAATCACGCTGGTGTATCTTAGAAATGGTTGCATCAGGGCGTATGTCTCCACTTTGATCGCTTGTCACATTCGACCATCGCAATAAAACATTTCTGCTGGGATCAGATAGCAAAGAGGATAAAATAGGGTCAAAATACATCGTGAAAAGTTCACATTCACCGATGCACTTCTTGTTCTTGATGGCAATTAGGGGAAGTTTGCGCATTCTATAAAAATATTTAGTTTGTAACGTGATTATAACTTACAGAACTTCTTTCAGCTCTATTACTGTTAATTATGACTTACGCGGCCGCAATGCCTCGCAACAACGATCCCTGAAGTGGGTCCAAGCTCCTACCAAGCATCAAGAGATCAATTTCAACATCATCCTTTGCTTGGAGATTTGAGTCCATATTGTTCATCAATCGAGTCAGCTTCATGCACACTTCATCACACATATCCTGCTTGAAGTCCAGGCATTCGGCTAACATTTCCTTATTGAGTTTGACAAGGATGTCTTCAGAGAATATATCAATACACAGTGGACTGTGTTGGCCAGTGCATAAGAGAAGGATATTAGACAAAGATAAAAGTTCGTGTATGGAAGATTCGATAAAGAGCAACTTATTAGCAGTTATTCTCGTGACAGCTTGTTGGAATTCTGTAAATAACTCGGCTAAGTCCATGCCCTGGAACGTCCATGACTCCAAAGGGGTAGTCTTTTCCACATCATCCGCCACAGTCTCAGTAGCAGCGAAAATGAATTCCTGGTGATCGGCTACTGTTGCATCAGTTGTTCCTATAGTATCAGCTATGGTATTTGTGGTATGAGATACGGGTATCGTGGTATCAGAAATCGCTGTAGATGTTGGAGTGCCATGTGAGGATTAGGAGGTATATGCAGATATCGATTATGTAGCGATAGAAGTGGGAGCTGCGTAAGCGAGTCCTGTGGTTCCATGCTCAAAAACGCCGCGTACATATTCAGCGCAACTCTTATGTGTATTGAGTTGGGTTTTTCGTCGCGACCTTTCTAGTCAATAGAGCTTGTACTTTTCTGATTGCTTGAAGATTGCTGAATTCTGATTCCAAACGCTCTTTTTCACTTGATAAATGATGTGTATTGATAATGTTTTTTTTTCTTGTATCGTGTAATTGCGTAGCTGTTTGCCCAATAAACCAAAATTCATCTACAAAAAGTTTTAGTGTCAAA